TTAAGGGGGAAAAGAAGAGTTATCACCGTGGTTTTGACCAGAAAAGCAAAGAATATTTGGGACTGTTAAACACTTAATTTTTTTAAATCCTAAATTTCTTAAGGGAGACCTTTAATTTTTATTTGAAATTTTTAACCATTTAAATTTAACTGCTTAAAATCTAAATATGGTTCATTTACCCAGAAAACCCGTCCCCTCCATGTTTCAATTAGGTGCATTTTTCTTAATTGCATTTGCATTTCTCTGAAACTATTTCTCCTCCAATCCTTTCCACTTGCCTGCAAACCAAAGAATTCATTATTCATTCAGCTCTCCAATTTGTTTCTTCTGGAAGGTAGTTCCGAGCCACAAAAGTCAAACCCAGGCTTCTGCTTACCCAAAACTCAAGAGTCTTTGATATCAAACTACCTCCAGCTTTGTTAAATAAGGAGTCCTACGATACCATCAATCCTTCAATAGAAATCCCCGCTGAGCTCTACCATCTTTGCTGCCGACACTTCATAGACGTATGTTCGTATACACACACGTGTACATACAGATGTACACACACTCTCTCTATTTTTTTTTATTGATAGCCCAAGGTGACCCAGACTGGATGCTATGCCAAATAATTCAAACCCAGCTCCTTCTCACAGCAGAAGTCTGCAATACTGGGGGGGGAAAGTTCACAGCGAGCACCGGTGGTTTTGAAGAGTCTTTTTTTATTTCCTTTCCGGCTGCCGTTCTAACGAACCTCATGGGGGGAAACCATGCCAAAGGAAGAGACAAAATGAGGGTACTGAAGTCAAAGGAAAAAAATATAAGACTCTTTGACAGGACAGAAAATGAGGCATAATTAGGGAAGACTTATTGCCTGGAAAATGATAATGGACAGAAAAAAACAATTCTTTTTTTTCCTAGTGACATCCGCAAGGACCATGTACCGAGGTGTTAAATGCCAGCATTTCAGTTATGTTTTTACTTACTGCCAAAGGCTGAGCCTGCAGCTGCACCTGGAAAAAAACAAGAAGAAGCCCGGTCACTGGAAGCAGGACGCCATCGGCTCTGATACCAGCAGAAGATCAAACAGATACACGA